GCTTCGCCGGCTTCCCCAGCACTGCTGCCAGCGGGCTGCTGGACAGCCCCACTTCCATCACCCCACCGCCCATGCTGAGCGCCGACGACCTGCTGGGCTCCCCCACCTTGCCTGACTGCGCCAGCAACCCCTTCACCTTCTCCAGCCAGGAGCTGGTCAGTCTCTTCGCCCCCAGCATGGGGGTGCAGGTGCCCAATGGGAGCTCCCCCACCACCTTCTTGTTCAGGCCCATGTCCGAGTCCCCCAACATGTTTGACTCGCCGCCCAGTCCTCAGGACTCCCTCTCTGACCAGGAGGGCTATCTGAGCAGCTCCAGCAGCAGCCACAGCGGCTCAGATTCCCCTATCCTGGACACCTCAAGACGTCTTCCCATCTTCAGCAGACTCTCAATCTCTGATGACTAATCTGGGGTTTTTCTCTTGCTCCCCCCCATCTCTATTATGATATTAAGCTGAACTCCTCCCCACCCTGTCCCCAGTAATCTGAGCGGGATGTTAACGTGTCCACCTGCCTGCCATAGACCCACTGGCTTAAACCTTAAGTGCCAAATTACGATGAAAAGCAATAACGTTTACAAAATCAGTGCCTTTAACACTTTCACTGTGACTGTATTACCTCTCCAGCTGCAGAGGGCACCAGCAGCTCTGTGCACTTCCAGATGTGCAGGAAATGTCCGGATCCAGCTCCCTCCACTGGCCACGTACTGCATCGCCCTCTCCCAGTCCCTTCCTGGCTGGCCAGTTGCCGCTAGGCTGCAGGCATGTGGGCAAGTGTTAACATCCAGGCCTCTTTCTCCCCCTCCTTTTAAAGACCAGTCTTGCCTGGATCCGCTCAGGTCTGTGGGAAGAAAAGCTGAGAACGGACAAAGATTGTAACATGACTGGGAGGAGGAAAACAAAACAAAACAAAAAAAATGAAACCAGACGGACTATGAGAGACTTGATTTTGGTGCTAAAAGTTCCCCGTGTATTCATGTGACATCTTAAATAAAGAAATAGAGGGGGTGGGGCTGACGGAAGTCATTCCACACAACACACACACAAAAGTTCCTGTAAACAAAGTTCCAGTAGACATAGCTTTAATGGTTTTGCTCTAGAGTACTTTAGACCTATCTTAGAGCACTCACGCCAAGCTTTTTATTTTTTTTTCCTGGGTTTTTAATTTTGTATAACTTTTCAGAAATTGGAGAGCAAATTTTGCTTGTCACTGCACAACAATATAAAAAAGCTTATTTAACTTATCAAAACGTATTTATTGCCGAAACCTATGCTTTTTTTGTTAATTTTGTTCATATTTATCGGGATGATGAATCCATAGAATATATTCTTTTATGTTTAAATTATGATCTTCCATATTAATCTTAAGATTGTGAAGTGTCTTTTTTTTTCCTTTTTTCCCCCACAGTTTAATATATTATACTACAATGACATTTTTTGTAACTTTACACATTTTTGGTTATTTTATTTTAAAAAATGAAAAATTAATTTAAAAAATGCAAAAACTGTGTTTGGATTATTTATTTTAGAATTTCCCTTCCCCTCCCCTTTTTTTTTTATGTTGGACTGCAAATTGAGTTAATGTGCTTCGTTGCCTTTCCTCTTCTCCTCCTCTTCCCCTCCCCTGTGTCTTGCCTACCTGGGCTTTAGAATGTACATACCTGAGCTCTGTTGCGAGACAGCATGGAAGGAAGATGTTTTTTCTTCCTCTCTTTGTATAGATTCTTCAAGGAGAAAAGCCTTGGGCTCAAAGTGCCTATCTGAAGACATTCCAAATACAGTTTGTCTTTGTGTTTCTGTATTCCAAGTTTGGAGTTTTACTTGCCAAGGTGAATGGGAATGGCACAAAGAGAATAATGAATGTAATTTTTTTTTCCCCTGTTACTGTTCACTACATTGCTTTTTTCCTTCCTCTTTGTGTGAGTTTATTTAAAAAATAATCTCTTTTGTAACGACTGTTTGCAGTTTAAATCAATAAACCCCAAGTTTTTTCAAGAAACTGACAGTGAAGCTGGTTTTACTTACAAAAATCAAGGTGCTGGTTTTAGACAACCACTCAAACGCAGAGACTTTCTTCCTTTTGACCCTTGAGGTGCCCACGTGTGCTCAGGCATTCCTCCTTCATTCCTCACCGATGTGACAGGTCAGCCCTGCAAGCATGTGGGTGCAGAGATCAATGTCAGCGAACACCTGACCTACCCTGAAGGCTTCTAACTGTTTCTGTCTCTTGTGGAGTCCTCTTCCCATCTTGAGTCCCTCGCTCTGTTCCTGCAAACTTCTTTCTGATCACTGTAGCTTAAACCTTGGACTGGCTTTTGTTTCTCCTGTGAGTCTCAGCCCCTTCCCCCTCAAGGAGAGGCTTTATGTGTTTTGAGTGAGGCTCAAGTGGGGTGTTGAAGTGGTATAGATCTCTGAAATCTCAGGCCTGGCTTGTTAGTGGTAATGGTTGGCTTTGGCAGAGCAGCTGTTAGGTGTGCATGGGAGAGGAACGTGGACCCTCGGCAAAGTCTTGGTGTAGACACAGATCATCCCACTGTTGTGTTCAAGCCCTCGTACCCCTTGAAGTATCAGTCAGCAATCTCAGAAACTTCTGAAGCGAGTGGTTTTGTTTAGGGACACTTCTTTGCCAGTGCTGCTCATGGTATTAATTCTTGTGTTTTCACCTTTGAGCTCCCCTCTGGAGCAAGCTTGGCACTCTTCGTCTGAAACTGTTCCAGCTCTCTTCCAAATCAGGGGTGGAATATTGCTGCCGAACTACCAATCCTTCAGCTGTCTTGACATGCCTCAATGTTCACATTTCCTAATTCATGGTGGAGAAGTTCCTGCCAAACAAAAGCTACAGGATAGCTCAAGGCTTAATACTGATGTACCATCCCTGTTGTTGGCTTTGTGCAACGCGCTTTCTTGTGTGGTCTGCCAATAAAGGTGAGCTAGGTGGAGGCAAGATGGTGGAAGAGGAGCGTGGCTGGTAGAAGCTGGTTCCCATGAACAGTGCAAAAGCTGTATGGGGAGTTTGCTCAGCAGATGCTGATGTAACTGGCATGCAGTGCAGTTGGTGTGCTGAGCCTCGGGCACAGCCCCGGTACTGCTCAACGGCCTTCAGGTACCTTCTGCTGACTGCAGCCTTGCCCCTGGGCACAAAGGTGATGGGGTCCACAAGAGACATGGGCTTCTGCCTGGAAGGCCCGTGCCCAGCTGCAGCAGGCACCCAGGCCTGCCTCCTTCCCCGCTGCTGGAAGCCGAGCCGTCAGCCCCTGAAGAGCGAGGCATATCTGATCTGGAGAGGATCCCAGGCCTATGGCAGGGTGTGCGCATGGAGCTTGAAACTGATTGCTTCCTCTCTGGACTTTCTGTGCAGCTCTTCAAACAAATAGTCTTTGCCCAGTTAATAATTGATGAAGAAAATAGCTGTATTAGTTGCACAGTGCTGTTGGTATGACAAACAACTGGGAAGCTGTGCTAAAAGTAGGTCTTCTTTCACGGTCCTTTGTGTACTTCCCTTGTCCTAGTGCACTGGTCCTGGGAAGCCAGCACCATCTTTCTCCTGCAAGTATATTAATGATAAATGCTCTGTCACTCAGTTGCTTTTTGAAACTAACCTTGAACTAGGTCATGCAGGGGATAGAGAAGAGCAGAACAGGCAGCATCGCAAGTTTACTTTCTGTAACAGTTTGTAAGGGACGGTGCACACAAGACCCTCCAGCCGTGCAAGGATTTGCCTGATCCAATACCATTAACATTCACTGTGGCTTGGGTATATGGCAGCAGCTAGTCTGGAGGGACTTCTCCTTCCAGAGAAGTCCCTCCAGATCTACCATGCATGAGTTGCCTGTGCTGTTTCTCGTAGAGTTAGCATCTGTGTCCCCTAGCAGTTCGCCGTGGTTGGTAATAGCCTGTCCAAGGCTCTGAAAAGTAAATAGCCTTTCCTGGTGTGACTGTTTGAAGTACACATTCCTCTGACTTGAGGGCTCCTCCAAGCTCTGGCTCATTGACTTAATGCTTGCCAAGAGGAAGGAGCTGGCCTGTGCTCTCTGCCTGCTATGCCAGAGCAGAGAGCAGCGCCCACAAGGACAAGATACCTGTTGTCCCATGTGAGGTGGTGTATCAGAGCGTGCCTGGGTGCACTTTACAGTTTGCACTTGCAGCTCTTACTGTGGGGCAGGGGGACACCTATGGTTGCTCTTGCTGATGCTCATGTACTTTTTGTTGTAGTCATAGATGCTTGCTGTAAGAAGACTGGGTCCATGCCTCTAGGCTGCAGGCGTTACTTGTCACTTATTTTTTGGCTTCAAAGTCAGGTGACTGTAGTGCTATCCACCTTCAACATGTCTGGCTGTCTTTGGAAATTACAGCCAGCTGGCTGTGCCGGTTGCCTCTTGGTAAGGAATAACATGATGACTTTGATCTGCAGAGCTCCAGGTGGCTCCAATCCCACTCCAGTAGCTGCCTCCCTCCTTCCTAATTTCTACAACAGCTGTAGGTGTCCCAGTGACTGTACTGGCTCCTCCCTTGCTATGGGCTAGATGTGGCTTTTGTACCAAAACATCTTCAGTTCTGCAGTTGGGGGCTGTAGAAACAGGCTGCCTCTTTCCCCAAACTTCTCTGAGGGCTGCAAAGTCAAATAGAGTCTCTTTGTTGTTGTTGCTATTGTTGTTTTTAAAGGCGTTTGGGCACTTATACTATATAGTTTTGGCCAACCTTTGTTTAGCGTCCCCTGTACATAGGCATGGTGTGCCAGATTACAAGTAACAAAAAATATAATTTAAAAAAGCCCTTGAAATGCTCCATGTTCCTGGTCCTCATAGAATTTTCCTCATCAGCATTGTCATGAAATTAGGAGGCAGAGAGGGAAAGAACTTGGAGAAGCGAATAAAAGTAGAAATGAGCCTGGAAGACTGTAACAAACTGGCTTGAATTTTCAGTCTGTATGGCTCCTGCGCAGGGAAGGCAATGGTCTGTGGATGGGACCTGGAGCTGCTGTTGCAAATCACGTAGGGAAGCCTGTGCTCTGCCAGCCCTTGCACAGCAGAGGGGAGGTGGCAGTGGGGCAGGAAATGTTGGTGTCACTGTTAGAGGTGGGGAGCAGGGGAAGAGATAGAGATCAAGTCCACACAGGATGGGGATAACAAGGCTGAGAGAGAAGCCATGCTGTCTCCTGTCTGAAGACTTCTTAGCTAATGGTGTTTGGTGCGCCAGTGAACTGCGTCTCTCCAGGGAGGCTCAGCAGCAGCAGCATTAAGGGGAAGGTCTGGGTAATGTAGCCTGCTGCATACTATCTGATGACTATGCCCAAGGATATGAATGAGTATTAAGATGCAGTAATACATGTGAAAACCACAGCGTGCCCTTTACACTTGCTAATTGCTGCAATTTGTGTGGCCTGAGTTGGGGAAAGAGAGCACGTGCCTGAGTCTGGAGAAGGAGGCTATGGGAGAACGTGCAGTGGTCAGCGTATGA